AGGAGTGGTGGTGGTATGAAAGGTTAAAATGGAAAGGAGGTTGCTGTGGATTGAATTGTGTCCTGAAAAAAAAAGTGTTATAAATCCTAACCTTTCTGCCTTTGATTCTTTAGAGACAAGGGTAGTTAAACTCTCACAGACAGGTAAGAAAGGGCCAGTCTTTGGAAAGAGAAATCATGCTAGGAAAGGTGGAGAGTCAGCAAGAGAGAGAAAGACGGTCAATAAAATGGGTGAGCCCTAACTCTAACCCAAGATGTTACTTATACTGGGCCATCAAAGTATATTAGAGATGAGGAGGATGGCACAGGGTAGAGCAAGGTCCAAATCTGTTGTTCAGCTCTGCTGGTTTGATGGCACCTAATAACAGCACGCTTGTAATCATAACCTCATTTAGGAAGGGACTGTCATCTTGGCTCAATCTCTTACAAGGCATGAAATGAGCAGATTAAACACGTTGAGATGGAAAAAGATAGATGTTGAACTGCATGGAGACCTCCAAAGGAACCAGGAAGCAGAAGCTAAAAAGACAAAGACCTTCCCTGAGAGTGAAAATGAAAAGGAAAACTTCTTCTAGAGCCTGAGGCCTGAATTTGAACTCCTAGACTCCTAAACTGTAAGAAAAGAAATTCCTGTTTGTTAAAGCCAAAAAAAAAGAAAATAAGAAAGTGAAATCCTGGGTAAAGATTTTAAAAAAGAAAACAGAGCATGACTATCTAGCCAAAAAATTTTAAAGTACCTACATAAAGGTAGCTAGAATTAACATTTGTTTATGTTGCTTTGTGCCTTTAAGTTGACTATGATTCATAGTGACCCTATGAACAACACTCTAAACAGCCCTATAAGGAGTCAAATACACCATCTCTGATACTTTATCCATTGCTACAATTGTGTGAGTTTTCATGTAATGAAGGGTCTTACTCTTTAGCGCTGAACGTCAAGATTTTAAAGCAAACACAGGGTCCTTCTGACAACATGCCCAGATTATGTGAGATATAGTTTCACCATCCTTGCCTCCATGGAGCACCCTAGTTCACTTTCTCCAAGAAAGACATGTTTGTTCTCCTGGCAGTTCATGGGATGTTTAAGACTCTTGTACCACCATAACTCAAAGGCATTGATTATTCTGTCATCCTTAGTCATCATCCATCTTTTAGATGCACAGCAAGCAATTGATAAAATCCTTGGTTGGATTCGGCCCTCAGTCTTGAGAATGACATAATTTCTCTTTAGCATTCTGGTGATATTCTTGACAGTATAGTAATTGTTAGCATTAAGGGTGTTGATTGCAGATCCAATTGAGATGAAGTCATTAAAAATTTCAGTCCTTTCCCCATCTATCTTGATGCTGTCTATTGGCCCTTTGGGAGGATTTTCTTATTTTCTTTAGTCATTATTGATCTTATACAGCAAGTGCTTCAAATTCTTCTCAGTTCTGTGAGCAAGATAGTATCATCTCTACAATGAAGTTGTTGATGAGTGTTCCTCTAATCTCAATGCCACATTCTTCTTTGTAAAGTCTGTTGTTGTGTTGGTGTTATGTGCCCTTGAGTCCTTTGTGACTCATAGCGACCTTATGTACAACAGCCCTAAACCCTGCTCTATCCTGTGACAATCGCATTGCCTCTGACACACCCATCCTGATTACCCCAGTCACTGAATCAATCCACCTCATAGAGGGTCTTCCCCTCCTGCGCTGTCCCTCTACCCTACCAAGCATGATGTCCCTCTCCAAGGACCTGTCTCTCCTTACAACATGTCCAAAGTATGTCAGGCGAAGCCCCAGAATCCTTGCCTCCAATGAACAGCCTGGTTTAACCCTCTCTAGGTTGAATCTGTTTGTTTTCTTGGCAGTCCATGGTACATTCAATACTCTTCTCCAGCACCACAGCTCAAAGGCATCAATTCTCCTTCTGTCCTCCCTAGTCATTGTCCAACTCTCTGATGCATAACAAGTGATTGCAAAAACCATGGCCTGTATCAGGCGCACCTTAGTCTCCAGAGAGACACCGTTGCTCTTGAGTACTTTAGAGAGGTCCCTAACAGCTGACTTTCCCAGTCTAGCTTCTCAAATTATCTAGTCAGCATATAGATTGTGCTCTTTCGTTTTTTAAACCATGTGCTATTTCCTTTCTCTGTTCAAACATCTTCTTAATATAGGTTAGATTTCTTATGAGAATAATTAAATATTCTGGAATTACTATTCTTATCAATGTTAGTTTTTGTTTGTTATAATCCACACAATCAAATAACCTTGCATAGTCAATAAAACACAAAAACTTCTAGCATTCTCTGTTTTCATACAGGATCCATTAGACTTCAGCAAAGATATCAATGGTACCACAGGCTATTCTAAACCTGGCTTATGTTTCTGGAAGTTCTCGGTTGATGTAATGTTCTAATAATTTTTACATAATATTCAGCAAGATTTTGCTTGTATGTAGTATTAATTGTATTGTTTGCTTATTTGCTGTCCTGTTACACTTTGCTACTGCTACTTGGAGTGAAATGGTATCTCATTGTGGTTTTCTTTCTTTCTTTTTTTTTTTAAGTAGCAATCAGTAAGCACACTTTAATTTACTCATCATGAGACACCCAGGGGAGGTTCATATTTTCAATAGCAAACAATCAACGAGTCTGCTGAATGCACAGTCCCAGGACACTGCAAATTCTTTTTTGGAAGGCTTCAAAGAAAAATTATTAGACTTATAATTGAGTGAGCAAATGAAACAGTAATCATTCCTCCCACCAGAAGTGTAAGCAGCATCCCTCATTTATTTTACTGTCCTTTTTTCATCAGGCCTTCAGCTATGATCCACGTGCCTGCAATTTAAATGAAGCTCTCCTTTCTTTCTACAGAATTCCAAGACGGAGAACAAAAGTGAACTTCAGGAAATGATTTCTCTAAAGAGGTTGTTTCTGGAGGTGTAGCCTGTTGCTCTGCTAACAGAGAGGTGGACAGGTTCTGGAAGCTGGAACTGACCAAGTGTGAGAGAAAAGGCTTCTTGTGCCCCCATCAGGACCCAGAACCTCGGGAACAAACAGGAGGCCGCCCATCCCCAATCAGGACCCAGAGCCTCGGGAACACACGGGAGGCTCACTAAGTGGGAACTGACTTGTTGGCAGCAGCTTCTGCGTAAACACCTTGTACCATGACCCCTACGTGGCTTCCTGTTGGTCCTTAAGAACCTTTCCAAAACAACAGAATCTTTAACAAAAGTCATGTTTGCAGACACCTTAATTAGAGAACTGTGTAATACAAGAGTGATGCTCAAAAACAGCAAAGATTTTGCTGATAGGCAAACTGCCAGTCTAAAATTTGGTACAATCGAGCTACTTAGCAGATGCTTAACATGGTAATTTTTCTAACAAAATCCAGTTGGAGGAAGAATAATGTCTTTGCCCTTGACAAAACAGCTCTGGGTTGACAAAAAAACTGCACAAAAAAACAATGACTCCTGATTGGACTGGCCCACAGAATCAGCAGAGCACTCAGCCCCGCTCACGAGGTGGGCCACACGGGCTAAGATAAGGGGCAGGGACGTCCCACAGTGGTCACCCTGCCCCGGCTTGGAGGGGCCACGTGCAGGCCAGTCAGGCATAGGTGAGCGACGGCGCCCCGGGCTGACACACGCTGTCCTCATACAGATCCTCTGGGAGCGCCTCTTCATCCCCGTCAGGAAAATACATTGGGAATGGTAGGTTGGTTGTTTTTTGTTTGTTTGTTTTGTTTTAATTTAGTTTGTTTATTTTTCATTTCAATGAACATCTACAGAGATTTTGGAATTCCATTCATTCATTGTTGCACCCTTTTTACAGTCATCTTTGTAAGCAGGCAAGAAGGAATCTCTGACCTTCACTAAGCAATTCTTGTGTCCGGGGACAGAGCCATGCACGTAGATGATGTTGTGTTTGGTGTTTATTCTCCACACCTTCAGTCCCAACACTGTCCGATCCTGGTTTCCCATGTGTCCAGGCATCTTGGTCCCGGGCCAGACTCTGGCGACATCTCCAGTGGAAATTGCTCCAGGTCTCCTGTGGGTTTTCGTTTGACCATGAGTCGCAGGCTGGCCTTTAAATCCCCATCTTTTCATGACCCCTTGGAAGCCTTTACCAATCGTTTTGGCGGTGACGTCCACGTGCTGTCCTGGACGGAAATGGGCAGCGTAGAGAGGAGTGCCTGGTTTAATTACAGCATTTTCTGTGACATTAGAGATTTTAATTTTCTGTTTTGGCGGTAATCCAAGTTCTTGGTAAAATTCGAATATGGATGGAGATTTGTGGAAGGGCGACGCCGTCTTCCCCCCAACGGTCAGCGCGGCCGTCTTCCCGTTGTGACTCTCCTTTGGTGTGTATTTTAAGACATGGCAGTCTTGTACCTGCAGTAACGTGACCACATGCTCTTTACCGTCCTTGGTCCACAAGGGCATCATGCCCAGCTTCAGTGCAATCAGGCCAACTCGAACAGAACCTGGTTCCCAAGGATGTATAAGCCACGGCTCATCCTTCAGGGGGTTCAGTTTACTTGCTAACTGGGCTTGGTACTCATCAGACACCAACTGCTTAATAAACGGGATGTTTTCTTCAGAAAGATGCTCATCCCACCACGTGCAACTCTTGCTATGGAGACTTCGTACCAAAAGGCAGAGATGCGTCCTGTCCCCCGAGCCCGGCACAGGGCTCAGCAGGCCCGCACCACGGCCCAACACCCACGTGCAGGCCCTGGCAAGCAGCGTTCAGCTCGGCATGGCGGCGCCGGGGTCACTCAGGCCTCCGTGCCACCGCCCACCGCTCCGCTTCCAGGCCCCACGCGTGACTCGTGCCCGCAGCCAGGGAAGCTCCGCGCGGCCTCTCATTGTGGTTTTCATTTGAATCTCTTAGTGAGAGTGATTTTGAACATTTCTTCATGTGTCTGTTGACCATTCGAATATCTTCCTCTTTGAAAAGTCTTTACATGTCTTTTGCCCATTTTGTAATTATGGTATCAGTCTTTTTCTTGTGGAGTGTCAGGAGGATTCTGTGAACTTTTATAATGAAACTCTTCTTGCAAAATGTTTGTTCCCAGTTGGTAGGTTTTCTTTACACCCCGTTCAAAAGAGGTTTTAATGCAAACAGGAACATAATCTTCATTTTTTTATAATTAAATTTTATTCGTTTTAATGAACATTTACAGGGATTTTGGGTTTTCATTCCTTCATTGCTGCACCATTCTCTCTACCCTCCTCCCCAGTTCGTTCTTCTTCCCCCGCCATCCGAATGTCTGTTTTAATAGGCCAATTGCCACAGTGCTTGTCAAAGCCAGTTCTGATTAATATCCTTTGTCAGTGTGTCCCTTGCCATTC